AGTTTCTGTTTGCCCCTAAAATCGACCGATTTGCTTTGTGTCGATCAAAACTTACTTTTGGTTTGCATTTATTAGTCTGGTAATTTGGTGGGCAAAAAGATGCAAAAATATGGCAGAAAGATTAGTTTTGTCAATTGTGTTCATGAACATACCCCCTGTTTATTTCAGATGGGTCTGCAATAGTCAACAGGAATTTGAAGCTAATTTTGGGCTTGGTTTGGACACTTATCCTGCATTATTCGATCTCAAAGCAAGTCTGGGATGGGCAGTCGAGTGATGCATTGGAGAACCAGGATTTGCCACCAAAAATAAAACTTATGACCTGGCTCAAGGAAAAATTACCCGTCGGACTTCCGTTCAGTAATTTCACATCGGACTGGAATGATGGAATTCTGCTCGGTGCTTTGGTATGTGGCATTTTGTATGCAAGTTTTCATTTTTTCTAAGAACAAATAGCTTGAAGCGGGCCTCAGCTATGTACCTATTTTTGTAGGTCGATTCTTGTGCGCCTGATTTGGAAGTTGGTTGGCGTAACTGGGTACCAGCGCAAGCTCTGCAATCCACTACTACTGCTATGAAGCTTGCTAACGATCATTTGGATGTCGCAGCGGTATGTTTAATTGAGAAAGTTCTGGTAGTTCGGAAAAAGATAATTATTAGAATTGGGATGATATTTAAGACAAACACACTGGTTTTCTTGCATCAAAAGTTAATGAAAATGGCAAAAATGTTGTGCAAAAACTCTGCAATTCTGCAAATTTGGATTTGTGTTTCTGCAAAAAATGTTTGCAAAAAAATCAAGGATTTTGCAAAAATTCTGGCAAAAATGATGAGTGTTGTGCAACGACAAAATGGGGAAAACAAAATTATGTTTTTTCCTTACTACTCTAACCCACTTAGGATACGCGAGTTGTTCAGACTGTAGAGGATAATTGCTTTGAGCAGTGTTCATTTCATTCGAATGTGGATGATGTTAGATGCAAAATTCGCTCACTTATTTTTCAGCTTATCACACCGGAGGAGCTCATCAATCCAGCTGTTGATGAAAAAAGCGTGATGACATATTTGGCACAATTTCCGGGTGCAAAATACACCCCGCCACTGGGTCGTTTTCTCGAACTGGACAACGTAGTGGTCGTTGGTTGTGATACGAAGCTCACGTTGAAAACGCGAAGCTCAGCAGTCGCACCGGAAGTGATCATTCGAGGACCGGATGGCTCTTCGCTGCAGTACAGTCAGGAACAAGTGTCCAACAATGTATACGTATTCAAATTCAAGCCAATACTTGCCGGTGAACATGAGGTTTTTCTTTTTTTTTTCTTTGAAATTTGTTGAATCAGTGTCATTTGAGCATTCGAAGAGAGGAAGGGGGTGGGGGGGGGCAGAAGTAGCATTGTTAAAACTGAAGAAAACTGTCTTTGACAGTTTCTCGGTCTACGCCAGTAGGACGGACGAACGAAAGGAGGAGGTGGGGTAGTGGAGCTTTCGCTGTAAAGACGACCAGAGGAGAGGAGAGGGCGGAGGAGGGGGAAGAAAATCGTCCATTTTTCTAATTCATCATCGTAATGCCTCAAATGCATAGGCGATCGAAGGCGGTTTCGTCGGTTGGACGATTTCCCCCTCACCTAGGAGTCACTGTGCTTTGAGGATTTATGCGGAGTTTCAACCGAATCGTTTGATCAAATTTTCCTGACGGATTTCTTCTGGCTTCCTTTCTTGGGAAATGATTACTCGTAGAATTTATCAGCAGTTGGTTTCACGGTTCATCACTCGGCTTTCAGAAATTTTTAGCATTCCTTGCAGTTTCGTGTTTTTTTTAGAAATGTGGTAGTACCCTGTTAACACATCACTAACACGAGACACTCCACCTCTTAACCGAATAGTCTTCGGTATCCCTACTAAAAACTAACAAAACTTTCGAATATTCACATGTGGTGTCGCAACTGAGGTGATAGAGAATTCATGGTGGGCTAAAGTGCTTCCCAATATGAGTGCTTTCAGTGGTTGACATAGTAAGTAAAAGGCAATTTTTTTTTTCGGGGGGGGGGGGCACTGAAGGCCAGATTTCTCCATGGATTAGTACCAAGTATACCCTGTGGTTGATGATGTTTACTGTCGTGTCAAACACGAAAAGTGATCAACACTCTTTCTTCGGGAATTCTCTGTAGTAATCTTTTCTATGCATGTAAGCAGTGTGCAGGAGGGAATCACAAGGGGATGTGGGGGGAGGGGGGAACAGACAGAGCCTCTTGGCTAGGAAGAGGAGTTATTCGGTCAAAAGAAGAAGGATGCGCCGAATCGACGGGTCGTGGTCACAAAGCCTAAGGGTTCGGCGGGATTTTGGGGCTGAAGAAAAAGGATAAGTGCGGGTGTCGAGAGGGCCAAGAGCTTAAAGGTCCATGGGGGTGTTTTAGCTGTGATGTTTGTATTTGAACTGTTGAAGTTACACTGTTTTTGTTCATTGCATTTGTATTAAAATAATAGGATTCGTTCCTCATCACTGCAAGCGTCGTCTTTTGACCACAGCTACAAGCCAAATGATCAACATCTCCTTCCTACTTTAGCGTTATCATTGAGCAGCTGTACAATTTATTGAAAACAGTCATTAGTGACTTGCTCGTGAAATTGCAGATTATGGCGGCAGCTCGTGATCGTGCATCCGGTGATTCCGCTCAGTTGGAGAGTGCTAAAATAATTGCTGTGGATCGAATTCGTTTGGTTTATGAAGATAATACGGAATGTGACAAACCAATTGTACTAAAAGTTCTGAATGCCGGCAGAGTTTCTTCCATTGAGGTAAACATTTGCACGTCTCACGAAGTGGTCCCGTTTTCTTCAAAATTTGACTTTTGCGGATTTTACTGAAAAACTGATAAGTTTATTTTATGAAGTCATTTTGCAGTTGTTAATGTGACATTGCTACTAATAGTTAGAGCAAAAGCAGTACTAATTCGTGTGACAGTACTAACTGATGTGACAAATACTAATTCGTGGACGAAAAAAGTTCGAGAAATTGTAGGTTCCACAGCTGAGCCGTTTGCAAACTAGCAAATCTTGAAAATTTTTGCAGATTTTGGTAACAGCTCCGAATGGTGAAGAAATTGTGGTTCCAGCTGTAATCGATGACGCCGTTTACAAGGGGCAATTCACACCAAAACACGAAGGCATTTATAAAATAAACATATTCCAGAAAGGCGTCCTTGTCGCTGATAGTCCGTACACTCTTCGAGTTATTTCTCAAGGTAGTTTTTCATTGCGTTGCGCAATTCTCATTGCTCTGTGTGTTGTAAGTGCGGTCGAAAAGTCTTGTGAAGTTTGAGCATCCAAGCAATAGGAATTAAGTCAGGTTAAAATACTGGAATAGAAGATTTGGACTTAAGTGTCATGTGTAAGAAGACATTTTACGATACGGCTGTGTGTTTCATCCCTTAACTGTAAACACATACCGAACTATGCGTGCGGGTAGGAGCGGAAGTCGTCAGTACAGCCCCTTGCCAGCCATGTACTGAACAGCTATGTAACTGATTTGCAAGACGGGTATGCGGAAGAATGAGAAAAGAAAGAACAAACGGAGGGAGAGAGGAGTGAAAGAAGAGGAAGTTAACTCAAGGTACGGAAAATACTCAAATAGTCAAAGACACGGAGTTGACTTAAAATTTTTATGAGAATAGTGTGCTGGTTAGGTGTTTAATTTCCGAATCATCAGGAAAGATCCGTTTCTTGTTGAAATATTTGTGGTTTTCAGCGCCAGTCCGCATATGGGGCAGAGGCATTGAACGTGAAGGAATACGTATTGGTGAGGAAGGATTCATTTTTATAGAATATGGCGACCGAAAATATTACAGTGTATCTGTGCGCGTCACTTCTGCAGGTAAGTAATACTTTTTATTATATCTGCTCATCTTGCTTGTTCGCTAGCTGCTGCATCGCTGGGCGTTGCGCTTATTTTCATGTATATTTACTAGGATGCTAAATATTAACTTATGGAAAAGTACACCTGGAATTCAGGACATAATTTTCTCAAATTCATCTTAATTCACATATTTTGATATTCTTGACCGATTGGCACGGAGTGTTTATAACATGAAGGAAGTGCGGCTTGAGTTAAATAATCGCGATAAATATAAGATGTATGTTGAGAACTCTGTCTAGATTTTATGAGTGCGCAGAGAAATCCTTCCCTCTGTACAAAATACCCTGACCGGTTTCGTGGGTCTTTCTGTAACTCTGTTTCTTTAATACCGACTGATTCAGAAGGTCTTGAGAAACTTCCGACAGGATTTTCGAGCAACCTATTGAAAATTTTGAAAAACTGGAGAAAAAAGTGCACTTTTTTGCTTCGCAGCGGGATTTCCACTGAACTTTAATTGGAGCAAAATTTACGAAATGAAGCAAAAGATTTGCGGGTTTACGGAGCAAAAAAGATGTGGAGGGATGTAAAGTTGTCAGAATGAAGTGCCCTTAAGAAGGGGGTATCATGGTTTTGACAGGAAAAAAATTGATAAATTTGATGTGGCCAGTTTAAAAGACCAGATTATAAATTACGTGCGCGGCTCCATTCTGTTCGCTCGTTCTAACTCCGGAAACACCGGCTTGGAAAAAAAATTCCGCGATCACGCATTTATAAATTTTTTTATTGAAAAGCCCTGTGTTATTTTAAAACGATAAGGCGCGCAGAGCGTTGAGATACGGCTTGTCAGTTATGCACCTAAAAAGTTCAGAAAACAGAACGAGTGGGTTACGACATGAAAAGAAAGGAGGAAGAAAGTGACTGATCTGAGAATTTCGTGCAGGACAGTGCAAGTGCATGGAGTTCCAGACAGAGGCCAATTTTTCGCTTTTTTGACTTAATTCCCGAAAAGTTTGCAGCTGGAAGAAAAATGCCAGTGAAAGAATTCGATGATGAATATTTGCATCGGAAAGTTTTCTCATATATAGCAATGGAAGAAGGGCTTTATACAATCACTGTACAGAGCAAAGACAGACATGTGGGTCGAAGTCCGTACAAGGTTTGTTTTAAAAAAAGCGCTTTAGCGTCATGTTCATAGGCGGATCCAGGACGGCCTCCTGAGGAGAGGGGAGAGGGGGGGGGGGGG